CTGATGGGGACTGTCTGTGTGCCAGGGTGTTGGGGACTGTCTGTATGTCAGGCTGATAGGGACTGTCTGTGTGCCAGGCTGATGGGGACTGTCTGTTTGCAAGGGTGTTAGGGACTGTCTGTATGCCAGGCTGATGGGGACTGTTTGTATGCAAGGCTATGTGTTTACCTGTCAAGTGTTGACAGGCTGTTTAATTTTTGTTTAGTTTGAAAACACATTATTGTTTTTTCTGTGATTTCTTTTTAGCTCATGGATTATTTAAGGGATTATTGCCTAGTTTTTGGATCTCTTGTGATTTCTGATTGCCATGTTTTGTTTTTTTTTTTTTTTTAACTTCCAGTTCACATTCTGAATAGAGAGCACACTGAGTAAGAAGCATCTTTGGAGCTATCTTATTTTCTGTCTCAGTGGGGTGTCCTTGGCAGAGCTTCTGCCCGTGTAGACACATTGTTTTGTGGATGATTATTTGGTCAAGTTTGTTGATTTGGTTGTTTCAACTCTTTTATTGTAGAGATTATTACTATTAAGCTGTTTTATTATTTATCATTGTTCACCTTTTTCTTTCCCTTTCTAGTTATTTACAGAGCTTTGTAGTCTTTTATTATGATTATAGAGTTTTCTTTATCTCTTTTTAGTTCAGTCAACTATTTCTTTGCATAGCTTATAATGAGCTATCTTCCTGGTAGATTGATTCTTTTTTAATATATCAGTATAAGAATATAACTTGGGGCTGGGTGGGTGGCTCAGTGGTTAATAAGGCTTGCTACTCTGAGTCCAGTCCACTCCTAGCACCCATGCCAGTGGCTCACAGGCACCTGTGACTTCAGCTTGAGGCACTCAGTTACCCCTTTGTGGCATCTGTGGGCATCTGCACTCATGTGCACACACCTCTACACAGACAGACAGACAGACAGACAGACAGAACACTCACACACACACAATCAAAAATAATGCTTTAAAATCTATTTTTGAAGAAAATTATCCTTTATCCCTGGTAATGCTTCTTGCCTAATGTCTGCCTTTTTCTTTATTTTTGTTTTCATCTCCTCGCTCTTCCTCCCATATTCTTTTGGGTTGTACAAGAGTGTTGTTCTTTGCAGTCTCTTGTTTTCAGTCTTTTTTTGTGTCTTTATATGTATATCTTATAAACAGTACATTTTTTTCCTTTTAATCTTTCCTTTTTGGGGCAGAGTGCACACTCTAGTTTGTGTTTCTTTTTTCTTTCCTTTTTCCTTTTTCTTATTTTTTTCTTCTTTTTCTTCTTCTTCTTTTTTTTTTAATTTGATACAGGGTTTCTCTGTATAACAGCCTTGGTTGCCCAGGAACTTATTTTGTAGTCCAGGTTGGTCTTGAACTCGGAGATCCACCTTCCTCTGCCTCCTGAGCACTGAGATTAAAGGCGTGTGGTCACTGTGCCCAGCAGGTTTCTGTTTCCTGCTTACCGTGGTGTAGAACATGTTTCATGTGTGTCTTTGTCCTTCATGTGCCCTCCTTTGTGAATTGTCTGGTCAAATGTTTTGCCTGTTCTTAAACTGTGTTGTTGGCCTTCCTGAATTTATATGCTTTTCAGTGACTTGCCAGATACAAATCGTCTCTTAGCTATATGTATTGCAAGGATTTTTTTTATCATTCTGTGGCATCTTTTAATTTTTTAATGGGTTTATTTTGAAGAACAAAGTTTAATGTTTTTGTGAAGTCTTTTAATTTTTTTTACTTTGGGTTTAATTGTTGTTCTAATTTCCTAAGATAGAAGCTCAGATTATTATTTGTAGATTTTCATGTTCTTAAATTAACACAAGCAGTTAAAGCTAAAATTTCTGCTTCTCATTATTTGAATTTGAAACATTTTGATACGTGTTTTCATCACTGTCATTAAGTACAAATGTTTCCTAATATCCTTTGTAATTTTCTTCTTTTATATACAGA